CACGTTACCATAGTCTCTCGAGACTGAAGTATGCCTAAGAGACATGGGACTTCTATACATTTTGAAGTCTCACCAAGAAATTTTACAGCATAAGATAAACTTATAACAACTGAAGCAGCTAATGAAGATACAGGACAAAATCCTGTTTGGAACTGTGGAGATTAAAAATATTGAAATATCTGGACAAACTGGTACATATTTCTTAAGATAGTATTTGCTAGCAGCAAAAATAAATGGCTTTGTTTATCCAGTGCTAAATCTCAATTATGTATCAGCATTCAATTTTAAGCAGAACCATTTCTGGCAGAATTTATGAACTTCCTTTATTAGTTAAATGGCCAGAATTCTACTACTTACTACATTGGCGTAAGTCAAGAGTAGAATTTCAGCTGTGAATTGCCACCAATTATAAAGACAAAGCTTATATTTCTTGATGTATGCCAAGTAACGCAACTAGTATCTGACAGGAAATACAAGCACCAACTTCATAATTAATGACTATTAACCACTATTAATCACTGAGTTTTATGCCACTAGACTAACACCAGCAGACATTAAATAATACGATTCTGGCTGTGGGTTGTGTGTGTGTGTTTTTTGTTTTTTAACAGATCGTTCTTGTTTTATGAAGTTCTAAAGGAAAATCCCTCCCTGGGCCAACTTGCCTGTATGTATCTATCTGTAAGACTGCTTCTCTCCATAGCAACCCGTGTCTCATGATCCTCATAGATTTATTTATTTATTTTGCTCAGCTACCTGACCAGGCTAGCTCATTGTATGGAAATGAGGCAAAGGCCTTTTATGTGAAGAAACTGAATTCCTGGACTGCTCTCCCCACTGAATTTCATTGGCAGCAGTGCTATGATCATCCGATTGCCAGGTTAAAACCAATATTGTGTTATATAGTGACTGTTTAGTCTCTCAGTTGGAATTATGGATGTGATTTTATGCTGCTGTTTTTATCACAATGCAGTTGTATGGTTTTTACTAGACAAGGGAGCCAGGGAGCCAGGAACAACAGATGCCATGGCAGTCTATTCCTGCCCCCGCAGAACAACCTGGTCCACTCACCAGGCTCCTCACAGTGCGCACATCCAATGGCGCCAACAATGCACCAATCGCAGAAGTAGTCCCACCAGCGCTACCCTGCCTCTCAGACCACCACCCAGCAGCTGAATGGGGAGACTTGTCAAAGACAGAGAAGTATTTTCTGAGAGTGAATCAGGTACAACAATATTGCTTTTCAAAATATGTTTGAAGTGGAAAACAGTAGTTATATGGCAAAGCAAAAGTAAAAAATAAAGGATCTCGTATGAACTAATTAATAGAATGGAAACTTACTTTTATAATCAGAATATAATTAAGTTTCAGTTCCAACTTGCCCATCTTTCTAGGATTGACCTGGCAGCAGTCTTGATATACAATCCACTTTGTATGTTATTTATTGATGAGACTGTAACAGTTGCTTGCTTTTATCTCTCAGCATATATTTCATATCTGAAGACACTGAAAGTGAAATGCTAACAGCTTTCTTTAATACCATAGATAGCAAGAATACAGTATCAAAACAATGTGGAAGTGCATAAAATTTTACTGTGGAAACCCATACTCAGGATTCATAGTTTATGTACACAGTGACAGAGCTATATAAACTCAAGATGAATAACTACTGAACAGGATGATTTGCTTTCTTCCTCTGGTCCTGTGTTAACATGAAAAACCATGCTACAAATTTTGAAAAAAACACGTAAAGAATTGTTTTTTTCCAATCTGATTTTTTTAAGTCAACAAAATTATTCAAAAGCTCAAAATGAACCAATACTTGAAAATATAAACAGAACCATCTAAATGAGAAGAGCTTCTGAAGTACAGTGGTGCCTCGCATAACAATGTTAATTGGTTCCGGAAAAAAAACGTTATGTGAAAACATCGTTATGTGAAGCACCATTTCCCATAGGAATGCATTGAAAAAGGGTTAATCCGTTCCAATTGGAACGGATTATCCGGTTTTCTCCCTCCCCCCGCGGCTTGGATCTGACCCATGGCGGCTACCTCAGCCATGGCTGGACTCCCTAGAGTCCGGCCATGGCTGGGGTAGCCGCTGCAGTTACCCTTTAAGCGGCGGAGACAGGCTGGGGGGTGGATCGGGGAGCTTGAAGCCTCTCCGCGCCGCCTACCCAGGTCGTTCCCGGACTTCTGGAAGTCCGGGAACGGCCTGGGTAAGTAGCGCTGGGAGGCTTCAAGCTTCCCGATCCACCCCCCCCGCCTGTCCCCGCCGCTTCACAC